CTCATCGCAGTTGAGATTTATGTTTTATTGACAGCATCTACCCAGCGTGATGTTGACCACACAGTGTGGTGTGAACACACCCCGGTCACTCAAGGTATTCCACTTCGATTCACTGGGAGGAAGACCAACACCCTGTGCTGCCCTGAGGACCACGCGTGCAAGCAGCCACGGCCCCGTCCCAGCACTAACTGTAACAGACCAGGTCCCGTGACCTGCAGCGTGTAGAACTCTCACCACGCCCTGCTGTCCAACGCACTCCATGTTCCTGATCTTCACAAAGAGCCACTGCCCACGTGAGCCTGAGAGTTCCCACTTCCAGGTGAGGAAGTCGACGGTCAGAGGCCGGGCACCAATGGAGCCGGCGAGTGCCCAGGCAGAGCTCCAACTCAGAGCCAGCTTTTGACTCCAGTCCCAGGCTCTTTCCATCTGGATGGGGCGGCCACGCCTGCCTCTACACACGGCACCGAAGGGACTGCTGGTAGCACTCTGGCCTCTCTCAAGGTGATCGAGTCCATGGTAGCCAAACTCTGGGTGGTCTTTTCCCTGGGACCCGCCTCACCTGGTCATCCGCAGCCTCAGGACGGATGCTGTGGTCTGGCCCACAGCCGTTCCGCACCTGCTGAAGCCGCCAGCAGCTCCCTCACCTGTGCAGAAGACGCAAACCCATGGAACAGAAAGCAGGTCGGTGACGAGCACTGGGATGGGAGTGGTGACAGTGGACACAGCTTTCTCCTCATAGCGATGAAAACTGCCTACAATCAGTGCCGATGCAGCACTGAAAATCGTGAATCACATCCCGCACACCACCCCCCTAATAAAAATAATATAAAACTAATTAAAGGAAAACAGGGTGGGGTGGGGTATGCAGTGTCCCAGTTGCCCTCACCGGCACTCAGCATGGTGGAGATTAACTGGCTCTCACCCAATCCCACTTCTACAATCAGTGCAGAGGGGTCTGTGGCCAGCACTGCTGTTCATACTTGACAGCAGCGTATCCCAGGGAGAGACCAGAGCAAGGCAGTCAAGCTATGAGAGGTCTAATCTTCGCAACCACACGAGGCAGGTATTAGTATCCCCTGGAACAGCTAAGCGAACTGCGGCTCAGAGACACAGAAGCAGGAGTAAGCAGGCCAAAGCCAGCAGCTAGGGAGGCGCACGGCAAGATGTGAGGGTGGCTTTCAGGGACCCAAGGCCTTGCTCAAAGGCACTACAGAGAGTGCCCTCCACCGGCACTGAGCCCGACGCACTAGCTGCAAAGTCAGCGAGAGGAAGACTGGTCAAAGGGTCACGGGAAGCACCCGTGGGAGCTGCGCTAAGGCCTGAGGGAGGGGCCGGCACCCGCAGCTGTCTTCAGCTCTATCCGTAGAGAGGTGGCTAGGATGGAGGAGGACAGCAACGTCAAAGGGGTTCCAGACACTCAGAAGCACACGCTGCCCTCTTTCCTTCCAAAGCAAGTTCTTTATTGTCCAACCAGTCAACACGGCACTTGCGCTGTGCCGGGCACTCTGTACTAAGCAGAAATGGAAGAGCGGAGCCCCGCCCCTGCCCACTGGAGGCGTACAATCTGAAGAGTCCTCCGCAGTTACGCTGCGGCTAAAAGTCGACTCTGGACTTGGCTGCAGGATGGCGATGCACATTCTTTGAAGTTAATATTTTAAAGAACAATATCACAGCCTACATTTATCATTTTCTCCTGCTGGCGACAACTTCATTGTTAACAATCTACAGGGCACACTCTGAAAATTCATCTTACATGACCCTCCTATATAATTTGCACTGAGTTTTTTTTGAAAAAGGAATTTTTAAAGGTTACGTAGTGGGGTGCTTGGATACAACGCTGGCTCGCTGTCGCCCGGGCAGAAGGGCTCCAGACCACCAGGGCAGTTTTTGTTAACACTGAAGGACAACACAAAGCGCGCTGCCAAATGGCTCGTCCACCATCAGTGCCCCCACAAGAGGCAGGCAGCGCCGTGGAGAGTGCTCCGGACGAGAGAGATTTTCATAGCAAAATTTAGCACCAACTTGGGGGCAAAACCAGGAGCTGCAGGGAATTTCATCCCCAAAATGGATTCTCCCATAAACTCGCACAACTCACGGGTGTGTGATTCTGGAAAGAGAAAGGAGCAAACACGCAAGGTGGACTCGGAACACTACACGGTGACAGCTCCGTCCCAGGAGGGGGCGCACTCGGCACAGGGCAGGGCAGTGGGGGCAGCAGCCTGAACCCCGAGATGCGGATGGCAGAACACAGACACCACGACCTCACACTCCTCCTCACACCCTGCGCCCCACCAGGGACCACGGGGCTCCATGGAGAGCCTTAGTCTCACGCTGGCGGACCACCCCAGTTGGTCTCCATGAGGGAAGGGGCCAGCCTAGGGGAAGATGGGATACTTGTCCAGTGTCACAGTCTTGCTAATGTGATGACAGTGATCGCTGCTTTCATCAAAGAGTCAGTGAAGCCAGGATTCTGGGCTGTAACACCACTTCAGGGAAAAGCCCCCACCCGAACCTCTCAAACACCCTCAAGCACTCCACAGTGAGCTGCAGGCAACTCCTTCCTTTTCCCAAACGACGCCAAAGCTTCACAGGACGCCGGCACTCAGGTGCCAGGCTCAGGACCGCAGCGCCGGAACTCGGTCCCCACCCAGCTCTCCTGGCCCTTCCCAGCTGCCGCGCATCGGGAAGCCTTCTGGACTGCAAAAACGATGGCCAAAGCTATGGAAATGGAAGGGAGCCCCTGACACAACACTGGCTCGGTGTATGCAAATGGAATACTGGTTTTCCTAAAGTGTGTCATAAGGCACGGTGTGAGAAAGCTGCCCCCACTCCCAGCCACACAGCCCCGTGATGCTCCTCACACACACACACGCACACTGAAGAGGCCGGCTGGTTTGCCACAATGCACAGGGAATGAATTGCTTCCGGTCACTTCTGGTTTTTGAGCTGGTTGGAGAGCCAGTCCAGGCCTTCATAAAGCCCATCGCCACTGGTGGCGCAAGTAGCTTGGATGTACCAGCTTCTCTGGCGGAGGGAATGCAAGCCCAGCTTGTCTGTTATCTCCGCTGCATTCATAGCATTGGGAAGATCCTTGAAAGAGAACATTCAAAAGTCACGTTACCATGTTACACACGTGTAGTGCACAAACACGCCCTATGCCTTATGCCACTCCTCTATCTTAGCTGATGCCAAGCCAGCCTTCCTGTTTTTCTGGGCCAAAAACCTTAAAATCATTCTTGTTTTACTCTCTCTCAATTCCATGGCCAATCCTGCAGGAAATCCCAACGGCTCCACCATGGAAACACTCAGACTGACCACTTGCTGCCGTGGCCTGACCCCTCCATCGTTTCTTGCCCAGATGACTGAAATAACCTCTAATTGGTCTCCCTGCTTCCGCTCTGGCTCCCCTAAGGCCCACACTGAATCCAGCCATCACTGAAGGTCAGTGAAGGTCATTCCTCCATCAGAACTGCTGCAGCGCCCCCTCTCCTGGGGGAGAGCCAGTGTCCTGCCTGTGGTCTGCAAGGCCAGCAGGCCCGGAAGCCCCAGGACCGCTCTGAGCTGGCTCGGCCGTCTTTTTCAGATGGCACTCACCATATGCTGCTGGATTTCACCAGCACTTACTTAGCATGCCCACTGTTCACACTACGACAGAGAGAGGCGAGTTTTACAAGGGCAGGAGTCTGCCTGCCTCTGAGGTGTCCCAAGTGCTAGAACTGTGCCTGGCCCAGAGCAAGCTCCAACTGTCTGGAGAAATCAGATCTAAACGAGGACAATGCAGACGTCCTGATGACGTGAAGACATCAAAGACGAGCTAAGTGGAAAGGCGGGCAGGCGGCCGCATGACAGGATGACCTGGCACTGAAAGGTGGGCACAACCATACAGCTTGTGAAGGCACAGAAAAGTGCATTTCTGAAAACAGACACAAGAAATCTAACAACGTTTTACCCCGAAGACAGGGCTAGAATACTTCACTTGCTATTCTGAACTATTCGCCTGTCTACACCACAAGCATGGTCTGTTTTTACAATGTAACAGGTTTGTTCTTGATTCTGTCACGTCACCAGAGGAGCCCTGGACAGACACTGAACCTGTCAGGAGGCAACATGTTGAGTGAATGCTGGGCCGTCCACCATTTCCAATCGAGAGCCAAGCTGACAAATGTACAGGGACCCAATACGATCTCAATTATGTACCCCGTGCTTCCACGGAACATCAACTCTACCAGGGGCCAGCGCAGGCCAGCACAACCCCACACAGCTCTCCCTGCACCTGTGCGCGCGGCTCGGCTTGCTCCTGGAGCTGGAGGGTTCCCCGCTGGTCCTCCTCCCACGCACTGCTGCTCTACCAGCTTACACTGGCACGGAGCCCCTCTTCCTCAATACCACCCTGAGGACCCACGGCCATCTCCTCCCTGGCTCCTCACCACCCAGGCTGCCTGCGCGGCTTGCCTTGCCACTTCCAGACCCCTGCGACCCCACCCTCCGGGCCTGAGGTGTCTGCTCAGGGGTCACCTCACAAGAGAGGCGCTCCCAGCCACCTGCCTCCTTCCTCCACAGCGCTCCCGACACTACTTCCTCTCACGTCTCCTATGTACTACCTGACTCTCAGCCCTGAGAAAATAAATGCCATGGCACAGGGGCTCTGTGTGGCTTATTCAATGACGTATCTCCAGCACTAAGACAAAGCCTGAACTTGGGAGATCTCGGTTAGCACTGACTGAGTGGAAGACATTCTAGAGAGGTGCAGCAGGAGAGGCTACGGTTAGGACTGGGGACGGGAAGAGACCTGATTTCAGTGTCTGTACTTTTAAGAGTGACACTCAGCAGCAAACTGCAGTGTCAGCATTCAGCACGCCAGCAACATACCTGTTTATTCACAAACACCAGCAGAACTGCATCTCTGAGCTCGTCTTCAGCTAACATTCTTGTCAGCTCTTCCCGGGCCTCGTTCACTCGCTCTCTGTCATTGCTGTCAACCACAAAAATCAGACCTGGTAAGAAATGACAACTGTGTGAGTATCTGGGACCCGAGAAGAGCAGCCGTTTATATGAGGAGACTTCAAAAAGTTTGTGGACAATGGAATCAAAAGATAAGTCTATTTGAGCAAAAATTTTTAACATCCATGCATAGAGCTGGCGCCGTGTTCTAGTCTCAACTACTCCTCTTCCAGTCCAGCTCTCTGCTGTGGCCCGGGAGGGCAGTGGAGGATGGCCCAAGTGCTTGGGCCCTGCACCCACATGGGAGACCAGGAGGAAGCACCTGGCTCCTGGCTTCGGATCGGGGCAGCACCGGCCATGGCGGCCATTTGGGAGGTGAACCAATGGAAGGAAGACCTTTCTCTCTGTCTCTCTCTCTCTCTCTCACTGTCTAGCTCCATCTGTTATGTATAGTATTTTTCATAAAAGGCATTTTCTGTGAACGTTTGGGGATCTGCAATAGAGTTCGATAACGGAGGCTAAAGAGCGGTGGGTAAAAGCTACAGGAAGTCAGCATAATAAAGAAGTCAGCACTTGGTGGGTGAGACCCCGGAGGAAAGAAGTGGCCATCAAAGGAGAAGGTACTTTTCTCTGAAGGGAGGAAAGAACTTCTACTTTGCTTATGGCTTTGTCTAAATACTGACAGAGTTTGTGGATTCAAAAGGCTTCCATAGCCTAGGCAGCTCATGTCAAGAGCCTCAGGTGATTTGGGGCTGGCGCTGTGGTACAGCGGATTAACGCCCTGGCCTGAAGCGCCGGCATCCCATGTGGGCGCCAGTTCTAGTCCTGGCTGCTCCACTTCTGATCCAGCTCTCTGCTATAGCCTAGGATAGCAGTAGAAGATGGCCCATGTCCTTGGGCCCCTGCACCCACGTGGGAGACCCAGAAGAAGCTCCGGCTCCTGGCTTCAGATCGGTGTAGCTCCGGCCGTTGTGGCCAACTGGGGAGTGAACTATTGGATGGAACACCTCTCTCTCTCTGCCTCTCCTCTCTCTGTGTAACTCTCTAAGGTAAAAAATAAATAAATCTTAAAAAAAAAAGAGCCTCAGGTGATCACTGACATCATACATACATAAGAGTGTTAATTGTTGAATTAACAACAGGAGTCACTGTGCACCAACTTCCCATGCAGGACCTCTGTCCTCAAAGAGTTCTATTATAATTACGTCTAAGTGCTCACAAAAGATGTATCATTCTCGGGTGCCTCTTTAAAGTTAATTAAGTTTCTAAAAAAAAAAAAAAAAAGTGAAATTACTTCAAGATGAAATGACTTTGAACAGCCCTTGTCTCGACTGCCGAGGAACAGGTTTTTTTTTTTTTTTTTTTTTTTGTGCCAAGTTTTGAACTTTTTATTTAGCATAGAGTTGGTCTGCTGTGTATAAAGTTAATTGAAAATGGATCTTAGTGGAGAATGGGACTGGGAGTGGGAGAGGGAGAAGGAGAGGTGGGAGTGGGGGTGGTGGGAAGAATCACTATATTCCTAAAGTACTTACACATGGAGTTTGTATTCCTTAAATAAAAGGTTTCCTTGGGGAAAAAACAAAGCAGCCGGCAGAGCTCCTGTCCTGGACGCACCAGTGTCCTGCTGGAGCCAGCTTGTGGGGACACCGCGGAAGGGACGCTCTGACCCGAGGCTTCCCCGAGTCTCTGAGAGGGCCAGCGCTGACCCTCTGCTCTTCCCTGTGCTTCCAGCCCCCCACCCCCCGGCTCCCGACAGCCTACCCTGGCAAAGTCACGCCCGTTCAACCCATGAAATGAAAAACTGCAAAACGTTCAAAACTCCCCTAAAGGTTTCACGTGCTGTCAGCAGTTCCAGCCTTGATCACGAATAAGCCAGCCAGATGACACAGAGACTCACGGCAAGCCCTGCCAAGCGGAGCGGGCTGAGGCTGACCTGGAACCCCTTCGCCACCAGGCCCCACGATAGGACCCTCACCCGTGCAATGTTTTCTAAAGGGGAAAGAACACAGGTGTACACACACCTGCAGTCGCTTGTGTGTGTGCACAGCACTTGGACATGTAAGCACAGGGGGCCTCTGAGGCAGGGTTAGAAGAAAACAGTAGACCCTGAGAGAATTCCAGGAAATTCTACCCCTCCAGGGGATCCAATCACAGACCCCACCCCTTCCTCGCTCAGGGACAGAGGTGGCAGAGCCAACCCAAACATGACCCCTACTGTGTGCACTAGGTGAAGGCCAGTACGTCACAGATAAGCTGGGATGGAGAAAGAAATAACATTGGAAGACCTTTCTCTCTGTCTCTCTCTCTCTCACTGTCCACTCTGCCTGTCAAAAAAAAAAAAAAAAAAAAAAAAGAAATAACATTAACAGAGACCAGCCCATGGGGGCAATGGACTCCCAGCTCCGGGCCCCTCATCTGCATGGGGAGCTTTTGTCCCTTATTACAAATAAATTCACTTCAGCTTTTGTACTTTTTCAGCTTTTCTTCTTTATTTTCCTACTAAGCAACAAGTTCACAGACCAGGGGAAGCAGCACCCCCCAAGGACGCGACAGACACACAACAAACCAAAGTGGTCCCCTAGGGGAGGGCGTTGTGGCAAAGTGGGTTAAGCCACCAGTTGGAACAGCCATGTTCCGTGTTCCGTATCAGAATGCCTGGGATTCGGTCAGCTCCCAACCCAGCTTCCTGCTAATGTGCATCCTGGAGGCAGCTGATGAGGGCCCAGCTACTTGGTCCCTGCCACCCACATGGAGACCGGAATGGAGTTTCTGGCCCCTAGCTTCAGGCTGGTCCAGTCCTGGCCACTGCAGGCATTTGGGGAGTGAACGAGTGGATGGAAGATTGATCTCTCTCTCTCTCTCTGCCTTTTACATAAGTTTTAAAAAAAAATTAAATACTAATCTTTATCGCCCAATCCCAACTTAAAAGAAAAAAAGAGAAGGGTCATCTATGGGAAGAAAACTGAGTGGTTAGGGACAATCTAATTTTTGAATTTTAAACTACGCAGATTACATTGCCATTCAACAAATTAAAATAACTGAACATTCAGTCAAGGAGAAAAAAAATCTCTATACATGAGAACTAATGGACTGTTAAATGCATTCTATTTACTGTATTAATTTAAAAAAAATCACATAAACAGTCAAATTCCAATCTATACAAGTGAAACCTACACACTTAAATGTCTTAATAGAGAGCTAAAAACATTCATTAAGTTCTCACAGTCAACACACTGATGAATAAAATTCAAATGAAAAGACAGCCTGACCTTTCGGGGGTTGGCAGATGAAACAGTGGCAGCACCCAGGGCTATTCGTGGCTGCGCCATGTGGTCCAGCCCCACGCAGCAAATGCATTCTTCAAAGGGCTCCCGCTTGCTGTTTCACAGGCTCCAAATTACCCAGCCCACGGCCCTGGAACACAGCCAGCTCTGCCATCACGGCAACACGGGCTTGTTCCAGCAGGAGACTGAAGACAGAACGGCACTCCAGCTCGGTGTCACAGTGGGAAAACTCGACAGGGGAAACACGGCATCCCACCAGAGGATGGGGAGATAAAATCTCATACAAGCTGGGCTGCTGTCTGCCTATATACTACCTTGCAGACACGAAACGAGGCATTTGTATTACAAAGGGATCTGTAACGCTAGACCTGCAGGCAGCACTCACACCTCCACTGTAAGAGGCAGGCACAGAGACAGAAGAGACTGCCTGACCCTCCCAGAGTTCCACGGCAGGGTGGGGAGAGCCCCCGTGTTCCTGTCCTGCCACCGGTGAGAAAGCACAGTGGCCCAGCCAGGGTGCAGGATCCAATCCAGGACAAACGGCCACTCTGGCTACTGAAACAATCAGCCACAATGGACAGAAACACTGAGAGATAAAAACCTAAGCACCACCAGGGAAGTCGCGAGGGTATCCAGTAGAGGAAATCAATATAGGGTGGGCCGGCGCTGTGGCATAGTAGGTTAATCCTCCACCTGTGGCACCAGCATCCCATAGGGACGCTGGTTCTAGTCCCGGCTGCTCTTCTTCCGACCCAGCTCTCTGCTATGGCCTGGGAAAGCAGTAGAAGATGGCCCAAGTGCTTGGACCCCTGCACCCACATGGGAGACCTGAAGAAAGCTCCTGGTTCCTGGCTTCGGATCAGCTCAGCTCTGGCCACTGTGGCCATCTGGGGAGTGAAACAGCGGATGGAAGACCTTTTTTTGTCTCTGCCTCTCACTGTAATTCTACTTCTCAAATAAATAAATAAAAATCTTAAAAAAAAAAAGAAAATCAATACAGGGAAAGAAAAGAAGGGATTTTCTCTGCCTCTCTAGCACAAATATTTGATGAGGGAATTCCTTGCTGAGAAGGATTTTAGCTAAGACACGCAAAAGGAACAACATTCAGAAAGCCGCCAACGTGTAACTCCCGACGGCACAGCCTCGCCACAAGAGCTGACGGGAACTTATCTGGCAGAACCAGGCTCCCACCATCTGGACCCATCTGGCGGCACTGACACTGGGACAAACCGAGTGGCTGGCGGGAGCGTGGCGGGTGAAGATGAGGAGTTACTGCTTCCTGCACAGCTTCAGTTTCACAGGACGCAGAGTTCCGGAGACGGATGGCGGCTGTGGCTGTGCGGCATTATCAGCACGCAACACCACGGAGCTGTACACCTACAAATGGCTATGATGGCAAACTTTACATTTCACTGCCGTAAAACAAAAACAGAGTTACCCAGCAACTCTACTTCTACCTGTACACCCCAAAAAATGAAAAGGAGGACTGAGATTCTCAGACACAAGTGTCCACAGGAGCATTATTCCCAATAGGCAAAGGGCAAATAACCAAGTGTCCACTCGTAGATGAATGGCTACATGCATGCGGCATTGCCACACAATGGAGTATTACATAGCCATAAAACGAACAAAGTTCTGATGCATGCCACACCTTGACAACATTATCCTGGAAGATGCCAGACACAAAAGGATAAATAGGGGCTGACGCCGTGGCGTAGAGGGTAAAGCCGCCGCTTGCAGTGCTGACATCCCATATGGGCGCTGGTTCAAGTCCTGGCTGCTCCTCTTCCGATCCAGCTCTCTGCTATGGCCTGGGAAAGCAGTGGAAGATGGCCCAAGGCCTTGGGCCCCTGCACCTGTGTGGGAGACCCGGAAGAAGCTCCTGGCTCCTGGCTTTGGCAAAGCTCCAGCTGTTGTAGCCAACTGGGGAGTGAACCAGCAGATGGAAGACCTCTCTCCCTCTCCCTCTCGCTGCCTCTCCTTCTCTCTGTGTAATTGTGACTTTCAAATAAATAAATAAATCTTTAAAAAAAGGATAAATATTCTATTTACATGAAATATCTAGAAGAGGCAAACTCATACACAGAAAGCAGAATAAAGGTTGCTAGGCTTGGGGAGGCGTGAATGGGCAGTTACTGCTCAGCGGGTGATGAAGAGTGCTGGGAGTGGACAGTGGTGGACGTTCACAACAGTGTAGACTACAGCCACTGACTTAACATTTAAGAATGGTTAAACTGATAAAGCTGTGTATATCTTATCATTATAAAAACCTTTTTTAATTTTTAGGGGAAAATGTTTGATACAGTGGTTAAAATGTTGCTTGGGGGCCAGCACTGTGGCACAGCTCAGCAGGTTATGCCTCCTTCTGCAGCACCAGCATCCCACATGGGCGCCGGTTCGAGTCCTGACTGCTCCACTTCCGATCCAGCTCCCTGCTAATGGACCTGGGAAAGCAGCAGAAGATGGCCCAAGTGTTTGGGCCCCTGCACCTACGTGGGAGGCCTGGAAGAAGCTCCTGGCTTCTGTCTGGCCAAGCCCTGGCCATTGTGGTCATTTGGGGAGTGAACCAGTGGATGGAAGCCCTCACAGGAGATTCTTCACAACTAAGAAGATTCCAAGTACATCCTAAAACAAGTAATTATACAGCCAAGTGGTTAAGATTCTATAAAAAGAATCCAGGTGTAAAAACTATGCCAACAGTCAGATTTATCTTTTTTTTTTTTAAGATTTATTTATTTATGGCTGGCGCCGCAGCTCACTAGGCTAATCCTCCGCCTTGTGGCGCCGGCACACCGGGTTCTAGTCCCGGTCGGGGCGCCAGATTCTGTCCCGGTTGCCCCTCTTCCAGGCCAGCTCTCTGCTATGGCCAGGGAGTGCAGTGGAGGATGGCCCAGGTGCTTGGGTCCTGCACCCCATGGGAGACCAGGGTAAGTACCCGGCTCCTGCCATCGGATCAGCGCGGTGCGCCGGCCGCAGCGCGCCGGCCACGGCGGCCATTGGAGGGTGAACCAACGGCAAAGGAAGACCTTTCTCTCTGTCTCTCACTCTCACTGTCCACTCTGCCTGTCAAAAAAAATAAAAAAAGATTTATTTATTTGAAAATCAGAGTTACACAGAGAGAGAAGGAGAGGCAGAGAGAAAAAGAGAGAGAGAGAGAGAGAGAGAGAGAGAGAGAGGGAGGTCTTCCATCCGCTGGTTCACTCCCCAGCTGGCCGCAATGGCCAGAGCTATGCTGATCTTAAGCCAGGAGCCAGGAGCTTCTTTTGGGTTTCCCACATGGGTGCAGGGGCCCAGGGACTTGGGCCATCTTCTACTGCCCTCCCAGGCCATAGCAGAGAGCTGGATCGGAAGTGGAGCAGCTGGGTTTCGAATCTGCACCCATACAGGATGCTGGCACCACAGGCAGTGGCTTCACCCGCTACGCCACAGCTCCGGCCTCCAGATATATCTTAATAAGCAATATTCAGTAAGGGATATTTGTTCAAAATATAGCCATTGAAGGCCTCCAACAGGCTGACAGGGGAGCACACTAAAACTCCACTTCCAAGCAGCCAGTGATAAAGAAATTGGGTAACATTCTGGACACCTGTGCCTATCCATGCGTTTGCGGTGTAGCTGAGCAGCAGGGAGGGACTGTGGCCACACACGATGCCACTATCTGGAATCCTGGGTTCTAGCCATACCTGTTCTCGCTCTCCAGAGGTGTGAGTCTGAGATATTCTCAAGATTCTGGAGTTACCTGAATTCAAATTCTTCAAACACCAGTGCTTCCTCTAAGGCACACATAACCCTTGATTAGCTGAAAGATGAAATTCATCAGGATAACCGTTTTCTAAACATCCTACGTTAAGAGGAACTTTTTTTTTTTTTAAGGTTTATTATTTATTTGAAAGAGGTACAGAGAGGCAGAGGCAAAGAAAGAGAGAGAAGTTTTCCATTCACTGGTTCACTCCCCAAATAGCCCCAGCGCTGGGCCAGGCCAAAGTCAGGAGCCAGGAGCTTCTTCCGGGTCTCCCATGTGGGTGCAGGGCCCAAGCACTTGGGCATCCTCCACTGCATCCCCAGGCCACAGCAGAGCGCTGGATCAGAAATGGAGCAGCCAGGACTTGAACCGGCGCCCATATGGGATACCGGCACGGCTGGCAGTGGCTTTACTCACTACACCACAGCACTGATCTCTATGAGGAATTTCTGATACAGAGCAATGAAGCCCAAGGACTTTTTCTAGGACCGCAGTGTCCACTTCTCAGTGAGGTATGGCGCACCTAAGAAGAGAAGGGATGACTGCAGGTCCAAGTAGCGCAGGGCACCGCAGGTTTCACGCTGAACATCTGTCTTCAGGGACATGTAACACAAAAGGTTCCGACCTTTACCTTGGGTGTTCTGGAAATAATGTCGCCACAGAGGTCTGATTTTGTCTTGGCCACCGACATCCCAGACTGTGAAGCTGATGTTTTTATATTCTACCGTCTCCACATTGAAACCTAAATGGGGAAGATGGAACAAACTCTTAATTATGATTTTTGCTGGTTGAACAATTCAAAATAATTCCAACTAACATTTGGGTACTTTTAATTACAAAGCAGCTTGCCAGTCAAAGATCGGAGCTCACAAAGAGAACACGCTAGCTCCCGCTTGCACCCAGCCCACAGGTGTCCCCAACCTTCTCTGACCTCTCTCTCCCACCATGCCCCTCCCTGTCCTCTTGGCAGGAGGCCTCAGGGGTATATTTCAGGGCAGAAAGAAGTGGAGTCCAAGGTGCATAGTGTAAAACCGCCCACACCGTCACCCACACTTTCTTCCTCCCTCTCAGAACAACGGGAGGGGTAACCAGCCTGTCAATTCCCGCCAGCTACGTGCTGGTCCCAATCCTCCCAGGCTGTCCAGACCTTCTAGTACGGCTGTCCCCCCCCCCCCCCCCCCGACTGTCTTCAATCTGTTATCCTCAGCTTGCTTCTGTTCCATCTTTTACAGCCTAAAAAGAAGCAAAACTTCCTCCACCCCGCCTCTCCACCTGCTACCACCTCTGTTTGCTCTTTAAGTCCAAAGCCTCCAGGCTACATTCACAGAGCCCAAGGGCACCCTGACCGCTCCAGCACCTCCGGCAGCTGTCTCACTGAGGTGCGCAGCCATCACCAAGGCAATCAAGCACCGGCACCACTGCCCCTCCCGAAGCTCTCCCCTGGCTTCCCTTCTTCCGTCTCCACCCGTCCTCTCAGCCTCCTTCGTGGCTCAGCACACTTAACTGACCCCTAAAGGATGGAGACCGCCCGACCCCGTCCTGCCCCGCTCCTCTCCACTCCACACCCCTCCCCAGGCCACCACTCCTGGCTCCTCCGTCATCACTCCGGATTTACATCCTCCAACCCAGGCCTCTCTCCTGGCCTTCAGCCTCGGGATCCTGCATCGTTAGCCAGATGTCACCAAGGCCTCAAAGTAAGGCAGCCTGTCAAGCACTGAATGTAAGACCCTAACCCCTTCCACCTGCTCCCCCGCCAGTTATCCTTTCATGGCTTCCTTCCACAAGCTGAAAAGGGGAGACTCGCCCCAGACTTCCCACTTGCTCACCCCCAAACCCCACTACTAAATTTTACCAGCTGAACCCCCCAATATCGAAGAGTCTCCCTAACCCAAGAAGCCATCGTTTGCAGCCCTGTTACTAAGACAGCTGAAGCCACCTCCCCACAGCCGTTCTCCTCGCTCCACCATTCACCTTTTCCTCGGCAAAGCCCTCTGTCAAAAATACATGTGCCATACTGAGTTTCACTTCTCTACGCATTTATGATTGAAATGGTTTGGATTAAAAAAAGAAAAGAAAAAGAAATAATAATGTCTCCTTGTTTTTTCACACCCAAATTCCAATCATGGCCACCCAGGGCCACAGCAAACGGGGCCTGCTCACCTTCCAAATCTTAACTCTAACCACTTCTTGTTTTAGTCAGAGACACTCATTACACTACAACAGCTTAAATTCTTGTTAAATAAACATATAAGCTCAATGCCATTCCAGTCCTATGTGTTGAGGGGAGGAGAACAGGGAATTTGGCAAAATTATCTTAAATTTAATCTGGGGAGAAAAAGCAAGTAAGCACATGGAGGAAAGCTCTGGAAAGGAATCATGAATTCTTTTCCCAAGCCCTGGTAATACCTGAAATAATGGCATTCAAATGAACGCAACAGGAAGCAATCCAGGAAAAGACCAATGAGAATGTAGCACAGGATAAAGAAGGCATTTCAGTGACTGATACTGGACGCTCCCTAAGTTAAATACAATAAAGCCCCATTCCTCAGTGGCACCAGCCTCATTTCACGTATCCAACAGCCAACCCACTGGACGGCTCAGACACAAAACACGTCCATCATCACACAAAGTACTATCAGACAGCATTGGTCTATCTGTCTGGAAAACACAATCACATCGCTACCTCGGCAATAACTGCCCAACTGCCAAAGAGCTTCAAATGGAGAACGTACTCCATTGTTTTAGAAATGAAAATTTTAGGGGGTTAGTGCTGTGGTGCAGTGGGTTAAAGCCCTGGCCTGAAGCGCCAAATTTCCCATATGGGCGCCAGTTCTAGTCCTGGCTGCTCCACTTCCCATCCAGCTCTCTGCTATGGCCTGGGGAAGCAGTGGAAGATGGCCCAGGTCCTTGAGCCCCTGCGCCCACGTGGGGGACCCGGAAGAAGCTCCTGGCTCCTGGCTTCGGATCCACACAGCTCCAGCAGTTGCGGCCATCTGGGGAGTGAACCAGAGGATGGAAGACCTCTCTCTCTGTCTCTACCTCTCTCTGTAACTTGGTCTTTAAAATAAATTTAAAAAATAAATCTTTAAAAAAAAAGAAATGAAAATTTTAAAAACCTATAAAATTAGCAGGAGAAACTATTGATCCTGCAATGACAGAAGACTTGTCTAAAAAAGAAAACAAAATTAAAGAATTGGTAAACATGGCCAGCTGGTTATTTTAACCTCCTGCATGACAAAACACACAAAAAAGGTGAAAAGACAGGTTATCCATTGGAAACACTACCAAGTGTTGTTCCTGACCTATTTTTGTCCAAATTATTCAAACATCCCAACAGAAAAAAAAACTGAAGGATATTAAAAATAAGTCACAGGACCAGCACTATGGCGTAGCAGGTAGAGCCGCCACCTGTAGTGCCAGTATCCCGTACGGGCACCAGTTCAAGTCCAGGCTGCTCCATTTCCAATCCAGATCTCTGCTATGGCCTTGGAAAGCAATAGAAGATGCCCCAAGTCCTTGGGCCGCTGCACCCCTGTGGGAGACCTGGAAGAAGCTCCTGACTTCAGATCCACATAGCTCTGGCCGTTGTGGCCATCTGGGGAGTGAACTAGCAGATGGAAGACCTCGCTCTCTCTCTCTTTCTACCTCAGCCTCTCTGTAATTCTTTCAAATAAAATAAATACATACATCTTTAAAAAAAAGGTCACAGAAGAACAAATATAAATCCCAATCGGCATTTTAATATATTTACTTATAATCACAGACATCCCAACAGAAGTCTGCCTTGCCCTATTATATTGGCAACTCCCAGAAGAAATGACCACTTTTTATTTTTGGTAGCACAACCTTTTTAGAGAATAGTCTGGTAGTGTGTTTATACATTTTAAATACACATTTTTTTTTTAAGATTTATTTGAAAGTCAGAGTTACACATAGAGAAGGAGAGGCAGAGAGAAAGGTCTTCCATCCATTCGTTCATTCCCTATTGGCCACAATGGCCGGAGCTGTGCCGATCCAGAGCCAGGAGCCAGGAGCTTCTTCCAGGTCTCCCACGTGGGTACAGGGGCCCAAGGATTTGGGCCATCTTCTACTGCTTTCCCAGGCCATAGCAGAGAGCTGGATCGGAAGTGGAGCAGCCAGGACTTAAACTGGCGCCCATATGGGATGCTGGCACTGCAGGTGGCAGCTTTACACGCTATGCCACAGTGCCCACCCCTACACATTTGTTTTAATACACCAATCCCTCCTCTAGGAATTACTGCAAGGGGATAAAGACCACATTTGCAATAATGTGAAAAATGTTTTATTGGGCACTGCATACAAATGCAAATCATCTCATCAACAAAACGTAGTAAAACACAGCCGAATAACAGAATACAGGCCAGTTATTAAAATGTGATGCTGATCTGTGTCAGCATCTTCCTCAACCCCTCCCTGCTTTATTTAGCAAATGCCAGTTCATTCTTTTGGTCTCAGTTAAAGAGAAACTTTTTTTTTTTAAGATTTATTTATTTGAAAGGCAGGGTTACCGAGAGAAGAGAGGGAGAGAGAGAGAGACAGAGGTCGTCCCTCTACCAGTTCACTTCTAAAATAGCCACAACAGCTGGAGCTGGGCCAGGCCGAAGCCAGGAGCCAGGAACTTCTTCAGGTCTCCCACATGGGTGCAGGAGCTGAGGACTTGGGCCGTCCTTTGCTGCTCTCCCAGGTACATCAGCCGGGAGCTGGATCAGCAGCGGAGAAGCTGGGAACTTGAACTGACATACATAAGGGTTGCCGGCACTGCAGGCGGCAACTTAACCTGCTACACCACCATGCCAGCCCCTGAAGACTAACTCCTGTGGGGAGCCTGGACTTCCTCCCAAAGCTGCACTCACCTTGTGAGTCAGCTGGGGCTGCCCGAGGCCTCTCCTCTTCCGGCTCATCTTTCATTCTCAAAGAGCACTGGGCTTCCGGAATGGTGGCAGCAGTTTTCCATGAGGGCCTGGCTGTGGTTTATCAGCTCCCTGCTGGAAGTACATTCACTGATGTCCCACTGGCCAGGTCACGTGGCCACACTGGGCATCACTGCGGATGGGGACTACCCTGTTCCAGGCATTGAGGGGCATGAGTAACTGGGGGTCCTGAGTTCAACAGACAGATATGCAAATCATTCACCAAATACTTATTGGAGGGGCCGGCGCTGTGGTGTAGCTGGTAAAGCTGCCACCTGCAGTGCCAACATCCCATATGGGCAACGGTTCAAGACCCAGCTGCTCCACTTTCAATCCAGTTCCCTGCTAAAGTGCTTGGAAAGCAGTGGAAGATGGCCCAAGTCCTTGGACCCCTGCACCCGTGTGGGAGACCTGGAAGAAGCTCCTGGCTTCAGATTGGCTCAGCTCTGGCCATTGCAGCCATTTGGGGAGTGCACCAGCAGATGGAAGACCTCTCTTTCTCTCTCTCTCTCTCTCTCTCTCTCGGCCTCGGTCTCGGCCTCGGCCTCGGTCTCTCTGTAACTCTGCCTTTCAAACAAATGCACAAATCTTTTTCAAAAAAAGAAAAAAAAAGAAAATGCTCTCCATATCAACTTAACAAAAAAAAATGTTTATTGGATACCTGACTGGCACATGCGGTGTATTTTGCCAGATGCAGGGAACAGTGAACAAGACAGGATCCTTACTCTTATTTCATTTTGGGGATGAAGAGAGACAGTGAGCAAGAAATCCCAAATGTATTGACGGTTACTAAGAACTTTGGGCTGCTGCTACAGGAACAGAACAGAGGAAAACTGGTCAGGAAAAGTGGTCTTGAGAAATGTTTAAACTGAGGCCAAGCAAACGGGCTGGTGTTGGCTAGACAAAGGGGGAGGGACTAAGGAAGAAGGCAGGAGAACGTTTCCGAGGAGAAATGGCAGAAAGCAGACCAAACATATCGTCTAGTACGAGGAAGGTGGAAAACAGCATGTGTGTGGTTTTACAAAGATATCCGCCACAGGAGAGCGCCCCAGTGGACCCCAATGTTTTCATCATTATTATCTGTTTGCCAGGCAAACACAGTCAAATTTGTTTAACCTAAATGTGTTTTCACAACTTTCCTATAAACCTAGGGCTAGAGATGCTGGGAACAATTAAGAAAATAAAGTTATCCGTTTTTTTTTAACTCAAAAAGTTCATACTATTGGAATGGACAAGTTTTGCAAAAACAAGGGCTGGAGCTGTGATGCCCACATCCAATACGGGAGTACCAGTCAGAGTCCCAGCTGCTCCACTTCCAAGCCAGCTTCCTGCTAACGCACTCGGGAAAGGAGCAGATGATGGCCCAAGTCCCTGGGTTCCTGCCACCCACCTGGAAGACTCAGTTGCGGTTCTTGACTCTTGGCTTCAGCCTGGCCCAACCCCAGACATATGGGGAGTGAACCAGCAGGCAGAAGATCTTTTTCTCTTTCCATCTCTCCCTTTCTCCATGTTACCCTGACTTTCAAATAAACAAATCTTAAAAAAAAAAAAAAAGATTTGCAGAAAGAAATGCTCAATAGCACAGGCAGATGTGAGCCTACTGCAGCAGGCTGCCAGCTGGAACGGCCACGGGGTTCACGTACCTATCGTGGGGATGGTTGTCACGATCTCACCCAGCTTCAGTTTATACAAGATGGTGGTCTTCCCAGCTGCATCCAAGCCCACCATAAGAATCCGCATTTCTTTTTTTCCAAAGAGACTTTTAAACAGCTTCTCAAAAACGTTCCCCATTGTAACTGAGGGCTGTAACCAGAATGAGAAGAAAAGCAAATACATGTTCTTTAGAGATGGAGACTGGACACACATAAAACACACGTCTCAGTTAGAAATGGCTCCAGCAAATATAAACCGAGCTTAGCTGGGTATAGCCAGTAAGGAGTAGTGTGCCTTCCTAGTTTTTTGATGCCTTGCCAGAAACCTGTATTTTCCACTGCAGCATCCCACTGCAATATGTAGGCGCACAATCTCAATGCTACCACAGCAGTGGCGGCAGGCGTTAGTCATCTTAAGTATGGAATCAATGCCACAGCAGAAGTATCTACGTCTAGTTCTGAATTCTCTTGAAATTAGCAGAGAACCCACTTATTTTACCCAATATGAAGCAAAGTCCTTAAGGCAAGTTAAGTTAACAATATCCTTTGGAAACTTAGTAGCTGCCTTTAACTGCAAGACAATACCAATTTCCAAAAAAGTGACCCAGAGTTGGGGAAATTCAGCATTGGGAAACTGCACTGATAAGACAGAAACTAGGCTGGCACCATGGCTCAATAGGCTAATCTTCCACCTGCGGCGCCAGCACCCTGGGTTCTAGTCCCAGTCGGGGCGCCAGATTCTGTCCCAGTTGCTCCTCTTCCAGGCCAGCTCTCTGCTGTGGCCCGGGAGTGCAGTGGAGGATGGCCCAAGTGCTTGGGCCCTGCACCCACATGGGAGACCAGAAGCACCTGGCTCCTGGCTTCGGATTAGCATAATGAGCCGGCCCCAGTGCACCGGCCGCAGTGCGCCGGCCAAGGCAGCCACTGGAGGGTGAACCAACAGAAAGGAAGACCTTTCTCTCTGTCTCTCTCTCTCACTGTCCACTCTGCCTGTCCAAAAAAAAAAAAAAAAAAAACAAAACGAATCTACCTCTATGTAATCAGATCAACAGTGGATGATGACCAGACCATACTCTCCTTGTGCCCCTCCCAGCCACTACTCCCCAACAGGTAATCATTACACTGACTTCTTTTTTTTTTTTTAATAAATCTTTTTATTTATTTCTTTATTTTGACAGGCAGAGTGGACAGTGAGAGAGAGAGACAGAGAGAAAGGTCTTCCTTTTGCCTTTGGTTCACCCTCCAATGGCTGCTGTGGCTGGCGCACCGCACTGATCCGAAGGCAGGAGCCAGGTGCTTCTCCTGGTCTCCCATGGGGTGCAGGGCCCAAGCACTTGGGCCATCCTCCACTGCCTTCCCGGGCCACAGCAGAGAGCTGGTCTGGAAGAGGGGCAACCAGGACAGAATCCGGTGCCCCGACCGGGACTAGAACCTGGTGTGCCAGCGCCGCAGGCGGAGGATTAGCCTAGTGAGCCATGGCGCTGGCCTATACTGACTTCTAACAGCACAAATGCTCAACCTTATGTTTTCAGTGGAGTGCACGGTAGGTTACACAAAGAAGGGCGACAGTAAAGTCAGACTAACTTGCAGAAATTTATTATTATTTTTTTTTTTTGACAGGCAGAGTGGACAGTGAGAGAGAGAGACAGAGAGAAAGGTCTTCCTTTGCCATTGGTTCACTCCCCAGTGGCCGCTGCAGCCAGCGCACCACGCTGATCCGAAGCCAGAAGCCAGGTGCTTCTCCTGGTCTCCCATGGGGTGCAGGGCCCAAGCACTTGGTCCATCCTCCACTGCACTCCCTGGCCACAGCAGAGAGCTAGACTGGAAGAGGAGCTACCGGGACAGAATCCGGAGCCCCGACCGGGACTAGAACCCGGTGTGCCAGCACCGCAGGCAGAGGATTAGCCTATTGAGCCGCGGCACCGGCCTCTTTTTACTCTTAAGAGATCAGTCTATTTGAAGTGTGACCTTGATAGTCCTGGTTGGAGCACTGGATTCTGTCCCGGTTGCTCCTCTTCCAGTCCAGCTCTCTGCTGTGGCCCGGGAGTGCAGTGGAGGATGGCCCATGTACTTGGTCCCTGAACCCGCATGGGAGACCAGGAGAAGCACCTGGCTCCTGGCTTCAGATCGGCGCAATGCGCCGGCCACAGCGCACCACCAGAGCAGCCAATGGGGGGTGAACCAATGGAAAAGGAAGATCTTTCTGTCTGTCTCTCTCTCTCACTGTCCACTCTGCCTGTCAAAAAAAAAAAAAAAAAAAAAAGACTGGGGCTAGTGCTGTGCTTAGCGGGTAAAGCCACCACCTGTAGCACCAGCATCCCATACGGGGTCTGGTTCAAGTCCTGGCTGCTTTGCTTCCAATCCAGCTCTCTGCTGATGTGCCTGGGAAAGCAGTGGAGGATGGGCCAAGTGCTTGAGCCCCTGCACCCACACTGGAGACCTGGAAGAAGCTCCTGGCTTCAGACCGGCCCATCCCTAGCCATTGCAGCCATTTGGGGAGTGAATCAGAGGATGGAAGACCCAGCTCCACTCTGTCTCACCATCTCTGTAACTGACTTGCAAATAAATGGATAAATCTTAAAAAATAAAAAAATTAAAGACCCTGTCTACAGCTCTAACCAAGCTCTTAGAAGGCTACAAAGAATCTGGGGCCTGTGCTGTGGCGTAGTGGGTAAAGCCGGCACCTACAATGCTTGCATCCCATACGGGTGCCAGTTTGAATTCTGTCTGTTCCTCTTCCGATCCAGCTCTGTGCTATGGCCTGGGAAAGCAGTGGAAGATGACCCAAGTCTTTGGGCTCCTGCACCTGCATGGGAGACCTGGAAGAAGCTCCTGGCTCCTGGCTTCAGATCCACCCAGCTCTGGCTGTTGCAGCCATCTGGGCAGTGAACAAGTGGATGGAAGACCTCTCTCTCTCCCTCTCTCTCTCCGCCTCTGTCTTTCAACTAACTAACTAAAAGGCTATAAAGAATTCTTGAAAAGGAGAGCCACCTTCTTCCAGAGACTATGATTTTCCTTTAAAGTGTCAGCCAAGGAAAGCTTTCCTGCTGGGCAGGGCAGGGCAGGGCAGGGCAGGGGCCGCAGGCACCGCCAGTGCACCTGGACCCCGGCGGCCTCGGAGCGGAGGTCTCTAGTCGCAGAGGCCCCGGCTCGAAGCTCCAGTTTCCCACGGCTTCCCATCAGAGGCGACGTCCCAGTGCACACCGCTCCACGACACGACGGGGAAGCGAGCACAGCTTTTATGTCGTGCACAAACAAGGTACAGGTGACCAGCGGATGGTGAACGCTCGGCAAGGCCCGTTACAGGACGTGCGCAAACGGTCAGTGCATCCCAGCATTCACAACCTCGGCCGACAAAACCAGACATGGCTTTCCCTGGTGTCCAGCACAACAAATCTCATAGATAAGGAGATCTTTAGTTCTTTCCCAGATACCCCTTCAGGCAGGATGCCCGACTGCCCCTGCCAGCCGCGCTCGGGCCGCCGAGTTGGCCCTCTCGCCACACGGTCCTCCTCTGCTGCCTGTGCCCGAGGCGCCCGCGGTCCTCAGCTCGCCCTGCCGGCCACAGCACCCAATGTCCACCGGGCAAAAAGACCTCAAGGACACAAACGGGCGCGGTGGCCAAGGGGAGCGAGCGGGCGCGGCGGGAGGCACGCGCTGGCTCCCGGAGAAGGCGGCCAGGAACTCCGAGTTAACCCGCGGGCCCTAGGGGAAGCAGAGGGCCCGGGGGCGGAACCGGCCAGGCCCCTTTCGTTTCTCCGCTGCCCCCGCCCTAGAGAGGACCCTAGGATGGGACAGGGGAGCCCAACCCCTTTCCGCAGGCCACCGCCGGTCTCCAGCTTCCTGCCCGCTGACGGAGCGGATACGCAGCCGGACCTTGGGTGCCGCTGTCCCTTCCCTCCAGCCCGCGACTCACCTGTCGCCGGTCTGAGCACCACTACCGACACAGGTATAGACCCCACTGCCTTCAGAATTTCGGCTCCCCTCAGCAAAATGGCGCCTGGAGTAGGGGGTGGGAACGGCAACCAACCAATCACCCAATGCCTTTTGGAACTTTTGAGCCAATCATCTTGAAGTTCTATGAGTGACGGCACGTCTGACCAATGAAAAGGACTAAACGGGCCTGGGCGCAGAAGGCCCGGCCCCCGCGACCTAGGCGACGGTATGAAGCTCTGGAAATGCCGGGTTCATCTTCCAATGACAGCTCACCGCGTCCTGGCGAGACCCGCCCACGTGCCCAGCCCCATGCTACCCGTAACCAATCAGAGAACGAAAAGGATTTCCGATATTCCCCGCCAATCAGCTGGGAACCCTCTCGAAGGTTGAAATACCCCGCGAGCGTTTAGGCCGACCGGGTGCGGATGTGTGGGCAGGGCCAAGTGCAGGGCGATATATAAGGAAATTGCCCCTGTGGCGCTAAAAGTGGAAGCTAGTTTGGGGCTGTGTTGTGTGCGGGAAACGCCCGGACGCCGGCAGCGGAATGAGGCTCAGGGCAGCCCTCCCGTTCAGTCCGAAGCTGGACACCAGCCCCCTGCACCGTCCAGGGAAATCCTTCGTGTCTCAGTTCCCGAGTGCCAGCTTGTTGGCTAACAAGGAGACAGACGCGTGTGAGTGGTGCGAAAGTGGAGTCACTTCTGACCAGCCCCCGGAACGGGTGCCGGAGCTATGGCAGGCACTGGCCACCCTGCCACTCCTGTTTACAGAGAGGAAGCCACATAGCCTGGCACAGACAAATGCTTCGTCTCGGGACTGCATCTAGGAAGGTTCATGGAAGAGCCTATGAGAGGTTTTCCCACATCATCCCTTCAGAATTAAATATAGGGGCCGGCGCTGTGGCGGAGCAGGTTAAGCCGCCTGCTGCCCTGCAGGCATCCCCTATGGGCACCGGCTCTTTGGAGTCCGGCTGCTCCCTGCTAATGCTCCTGAGAAAGCAGTGGACGGCTGCTCCCTGCTAATGCTCCTGAGAAAGCAGTGGACGATGGCTCAAGTGCCTGGGCCCCTGCACCCGCGTGGGAGACCTGGATGGAGTTCCTGATCCTGGCTTCAGCCTGGCCCAGAGCTAGCTGTTGTGGTCATCCGGGGAGTGAACCAGCAGATGGAAGATTGGTGTCTCTCTCTCTCTCTCTTTGTAACTCTTTTACATAAATAAATCTTTATTTAAAAGAATTGTTCTTGGCATTTGTTAAAGTACGTGGGAAAAAGGCACCCTGGCACACCAGGGAAAAGGAGATGGGAAAGGAAAAAAGGAAAAGAAAAAGAAATAATCACCCATCATCCCACCATGAAATATTTTAATTTGAACATTTTTCCACATTACTTAACATTTTCCTTTACACATCATTTTTCTTTCTTCTTTTTTAGATTTTTTAATTTTTATTTGAGAGGCACAGTTACAGAGAGAGAGAGAGAGAGAGAGAGAGAGGCAGAGACAGAGATAGAGGTCTTCCATCCACTGGTTCCCTCCCCAGATGGCCACAACAGGTGGGGCTAGGCCAGGTCAAAGCCAGGAGCCAGGAGCTTCTTCCGGGTCTCCCACGCGGGTGCAGGGGCCCAAGGACTGGGCCGTCCTCCACTGCTGTCCCAGGCACATTTACCAGGGAGCTGGATCGGAAGTGGAGCAGCCACAACTTGAACTAGTGTCCATGTGGGATGGCAGCACCGCAGGCAGAGGCTTAACCTTCTACACTACAGCGCAGGCCCCTCCACATCGTTCTTCATGGTTGGGTTAGAGCCCTTCGTATGCATGAACCCTAATTTACGTAATTTGTACGTAGTTCAACAGGTTGCTTCTAGGTTTTTCTATTATGAAAAATGTTGGTGTGAACATCTCTTTTTTTCCTCCCTGTACTCTAAGGGTATTTTTGTGTTTTTTTTTTTCTATTTTTAGTAATCAGTTCCAAAATTGGAATCACTGGGTTTAAAACATGAAGATGTTTAAGGATCTTGATTACTATTTTCTGAGGGTCTACAAATGTACATCTCCACCAAACACGTGAAAGACATGCTGGGTTCAGACTTGGTGAGCTCTTTTTTAGAAAGGGTTTTTGTGGAGCAACAGGATCACTCATTCATTGCTGTGGGAATGCAGACCAGAACACATCCAGCAGACAGTTCTGCAGGCTCTTAGACATACCTGGGGCTGGCATTCTGGTGCAGGTGTCGCCTGCAACGTTGGCATCCCCTATGAGTGTTTGTTAGAGTCCCCGCTGCTCAAGTTCCAACCTCGCTCCCTGCTGATGCGCCTGGGAAGGTAGCAGAGGATGGCCAAAGTGCGTGGGCCCCTGCCACCCACATGGGAGGCCCAGACGGAATTCCTGGCTCCTAGCTTCAGCCTGGCCCAACCCCAGCCATTGTGGCCATTTGGGGAGAGAACCAGCAGATGGAAGATTCTCTCTGTCTCTGTCTCTGTCTCTTTCTCTCTCCCCCTTCCCTCTCTCTGTAACTCTGCCTTTCAAATACATAAATAAGTAGACATACTCTTATGCAAAGGAGTCGAGCACAAGCATAACTTACGCTCATAGAACACCCAGCATACAGATGCCCTTAGCAGCTTTATTGATAATTGCCAAAACAGGAAAAGAACCAAGATATCCTTCAGTGGAGAAATGGATAAGCTGTGGCATAAGACAGCAGAATAGGGGTCCGCGCTGTGGTGTAGTGGGTAAAGCTGCTACCTAAAGTGCAAGCATCCCATTTGGGCACCGGTTTGAGTCCCGGCTGCTCCACTTCCGATCCAGCTCTCTGCTCTGGCCTGGGAAAGCAGTGGAAGATGGCCCAAGTGCTTGGGCCCCTGCACCCACATGGGAGACCCAGAAGAAGCTCCTGGCTCCTGGCTTTGGATTGGTGCAGCTCCGGCCATTGCAGCCATCTGGGGAGTGAACCAGCAGATGGAAGACCTGTCTCTCTGCCCCTCTGTAACTCTTTCAAGTAAATAAATAAATCTTTATAAAAAAAAAAAAAAACAGGATATTGTTCAGCCATAACAAGAAATGAGCTACCAAGGCGTGGAGGAAACTTAAATGCTTATGAGTAAGGGAAAGCAGTCTATCTGAAAAACTAGGAACTGTCTGATCTCCGCCATGTGACGTCCTGGGCAAGGCAGAACTAGGAACACAGGGCAGAGGTCGGTGGTTTCCGGGGATTAGTGAGGAGGGAGGGAGGAACAGGTGGAGCACGGAGGATTTACTTTCAGCTTGTTTATTCCCACATGGCCACAATGGCCAGAATTGGGTCAGGAGCCTGGAATTTCATCCAGGTCTCCCACACGGGTGGCAGAGGCTGCTTGGGCCATCTCCCATGCTTTCCTCGGTGCATTAGCAGGGAGCTGGGTCAGAAGCAGAGCAGCCGGAATTCAGTGCTCTGATGTAGGAGGCCAGCATCCTAGGCAGTGGCTTAATCCACTGCACCACAACGCTGGCCCTGCACAGAGGATTTTAAGGGACGTGAAACTATTCTCTGTGATGCTCTGATAGTGGACATACATCATTATACATTGTCTGGACCCATAGGATGTACAAGGCCATTTGGGATAAAGCTATACCTAAAACGGCTCAAAAAAAATTGGGCTTAAAAAAATGGTGGAATTTGGAAAGTCTTCCCAAATTTTTGTTTGCAAATTGAATTTAATTTTCATTTCTCTGATTACTTATTTTTTCAGATGTTTGCCAGTAGTTGCATTTCATCTGACACATGTGATGTATCATGTCCTTCTACTGATATCCAAGGCAATCTAGGATGGTTATTTGTTTGAGTGGAGTCATCTCAACCTGAAAAAAAAAAAAAAAAGAAGTGAACTAGCACAGATAAGATTCTTCCCTGGTATTGCACCTATGCAAGGAATGCTGGGACAAGTGAGAGTGGGGATTTTCCCCTCCACCCTCACAGCCTAAGCATGGAGTCTGTGAATATCAAGTTGCTACCCACATGGCATTCAATTGCTGACAGGTTGCAGTTGCTTAGATACACACACGTATATTTTTATATATCAGAAAGACGGTTTATAATTAAATGCTTGCAGTATGTAGGACTGTATGGTAGGGAAGGGCTAGTAGAACACAGGTCTAACTTACTCATGATGATATTCAGGAGGTAGGGTTGTGATTTATTTATTTATTTATTTATTTATTTATTTTGCTAAGTGATGGAGAGAAAATGGCATACTAGTTTTATGATGGAAAATTCAACTTTTAAATAAGATTTATTTATTTATTTATTTGAAAAACAGTGTTACACAGAGAGAGGGAGAGGCAGAGAGAGAGCTTCCACCCACTGGTTCACTCTCCAAGTGGCCATGAAGGTTGGGTCTGGGGCTGGGCCAGGCCAGGCGAAAGCCAGGAGCCTAGAACTCCATTGAGGCCTGCCATGTGGGCAGCAGTGGCCCAAGTACTTGGGCCACCTGCTGCTGCTTTCCCAGGCACGGTAGCAGGGAGCTGCATCAGAAGTGAAGCAGCCAGGACTCAAACCAGCACTCACAGGGAGTTCCAGTGTTCACCGCTGCAGGTGGCCGCTTAACCCACTACACCAGACGCCAGTCCCTCAACTTATCTATCAAAAGTAAAAAACTGTTGATGAGTCAGGTTTCATTGAGACCAAGGAATTCAGGGCAAGTTTACTGAGCTCAAACTGCACTGGCTTATTAACCTGAGCGGCTTCTGGTGATATGAGCTTACTGGGTTTAATTTCCTTGTTATAAAACACTGGCTGTTGCTATAATGTGATTTGTGAGTCTTGGAAAGAACAAAGTGCTCTTGGGAGAAGCAGAGAGAGAATCCCCGCCCCCCCCCCCCAGGCTACCCTACTGCTCTCTCTCTCTCTTTTTTTTTTTTTTTTGGACAGGCAGAGTGGACAGTGAGAGAGACAGAGAGAAAGGTCTTCCTTTGCCGTTGGTTCACCCTCCAATGGCCGCCGTGGCCGGCACACCACACTGATCCAATGGCAGGAGCCAGGTACTTATCCTGGTCTCCCATGGGGTGCAGGGCTCAAGGACTTGGGCCATCCTCCACTGCCTTCCTGGCCACAGCAGAGAGCTGGCCTGGAAGAGGGGCAACCAGGACAGAATCCGGTGCCCCGACCGGGACTAGAACCCAGTGTGCCGGCGCCGCAAGGTGGAGGATTAGCCTAGTGAGCCGCGGCGCTGGCTTGTGCTCTCTTCTTCCACAGAGACAGCTCCGACCTGAGTTAGACTTCCACCTTGGTCAATGGTGTTACTATGGATGGTTGGGAAAACAGGATTGCTCTGGTAGTTAGTGTCTACTGTGCATGTGCTGAGTCAGCTGCTGAATGCAATATGTACTCTATGATGATTAGCTCAGCTAATTCTCACATCAACACAGTGAGGTTTGCAGAGTTGACCCTTCAGATACCCAGTAGCCCCTATTCTGGTCAAAACTCTGCTCCCTTCTTCCTCTCTTGGGAAGCCCTTCTGTCCAGTCTTTTCCTAAAAACGACCTCTAGTAAACTCATCTTTAGGAGAAACCTTAGACAGACTTCCAGCTGCTCTCGGGAGCCCCCTGAGAACTATTGCAGGCAGCCAGGCTGCTCACCCAGTCGGCGGCAGTGTGCAGGCCTCTGGTGTCTGAGGTGTCAGGCAGCTCGGTCCTTCCTTTTCTCACCATGCATAAAAGCTCATCAGAACACTATCCAAAAAAATCCCTTTTCAGAGAGATGCCGGGGTGGGTGTTTGGCACAGCAGTTAAGGCACTACCTGGGAATCTCAGACCCGCTATGGGAGTGCCTGGGTTTAGCTTGGCTCCCGATTCCAGATTCCTGCTAATGTGCATCCCGGGAGGCGGCAGGTGATGGCTCGATAACCGCACCCTTGTCACCCTGTAGGATACTGGATTCAGTTCTCAGCTCCTGACCTTGGCCTGCCCCAGCTCCAGCTGTTGCAGGCATTTGGGGGAGTGAATCAGCAACTGGGAGCTCTTTCTCTGGTAGTCTCCCTGTCTCTCTCTGTCATTTTACCTCTCAAGCTAAAAAAAAAAAGAGAGAGAGAGAGATGTAAGCGGCTTTCTGTCCCCAAGATGTTAATATGCAGGGTTAGGCAGCCCAGCAAGTGCATTGGGACTTTGCACTAAAGGATCATCTGGTTTCCATAGCAACCGCCGTCACATCCTTTCCACGGAGGATTCTATTATCTCTCCTTCCCACTCAGACTTTCCAGAAGGCATCGATTTGTGTGACTATAGGTGTTTGTCCTTGATTTTGCAAAGAATCATTTAAATCATTTGAAACAAGCCCAGCCCTCCCCCCAAACCCGAGCGCAGCTAGAGAGCTGCATTGCATCAACCCACCTTCCTGTGCTTTTTAAAATTCCACATTCTTCTCCGTCTCCCTGCGTTCTCTCGCCTTATCCATCATTTTGGGAACTAGGTTTCACTGACAGGAAACAAACAGATGGCAACTCCATCATCCCCAAGTGGGCTGTGCTGGGGCTGTAAAATGAAGTGTTCACAAGGCTTGCAGGGCCCCAGGGGCTGGCCTGTGGGTTAATCCCAGAGGGGCAGGACAGAAGCCCTGCCACCCAGAGATGGCTCCCTGCACAGTGTCACAGTCTCTGAACTTTTGCCAGGAGATGGTTGTTCCTCCCAGCACCATTCAGTTAAATTGCAAATGCTCCTGGGAGGAGTAATCAATCCATTAGGTTACTAATGCTAAAGAACTTGGGAAAGAGAGGAGGGGCAGAGGGAAGGGTGTCAGCAAGCTCTGAAGGTCACAGTGACATCTGTGCAAGAGGGCAGAGCTGGCCCCTGCCACACACACACACACACACACACACACACTGCAGATGCTCTGCGACGATGACACTGCACAGGACTGCTCCCCAAAACACCTGCCTGGAAGCCTGCCGGAGACCTTTGAAATGCACACCCGGCATCCTGCCTCTGTCCCCAGCACCGTCTGTCTAACCCCGCAGTTTCTGCAGAGTAAGGGCAGTTTTCCTTTGGTGAATATGGGAAGCATGCAGGGACCAGGATGGAGTCATGGGCGTCTGCTTCTGTTGGGCACAACTCTTGGCTGTTGCGGGCACTTGAGGAGTGAACCAGTGGAGAGAAGACCTCTTTCTCTTCCTTGGTCTCTCTCTATTGCTGTGCCTTTCAAGTAAATGAAAATATATAAACATTTTAAAAAATGGAAAGCATCGGCCGGCGCCGCGGCTCACTAGGCTAATCCTCCGCCTTGCGGCGCCAGCACACCGGGTTCTAGTCCCGGTTGGGGCGCCGGATTCTGTCCCAGTTGGTCCTCTTCCAGGCCAGCTCTCTGCTGTGGCCAGGGAGTGCAGTGGAGGATGGCCCAAGTGCTTGGGCCCTGCACCCCATGGGAGACCAGGATAAGTACCTGGCTCCTGCCATGGGATCAGCGCGGTGCGCCGGCTGCAGCGCGCCGGCCACGGCGGCCATTGGAGGGTGAACCAACGGCAGGGGGGGACCTTTCTCTCTGTCTCTGTCTCTCTCTCTCACTGTCCACTCTGCCTGTCAAAAAATAAATTAAAAAAAATGGAAAGCATCAGAACATCACAGTGCTTTGAGAGAGGGTTCCGGTGAATCTGTTCATTCCTCTGTTATCTTACATTGCCACAAAGTTCTCCCATTGGTACCACACTCTCCATAACCAAGATGTCACTGCCACCAAAATGGTACCCAGTCCCATCCTTGGGTGATGGTAAAGGGGCAGGATTTGAATACGGGATCCGCAGGGTCATCAGGTCTCTGAAGGAGGCCTCCACCTGTGGAGCCAGTGGCCGGCCAAGCAGCAGCAGGTGGTGCGGCATTTCATTTTCTGAAAACTGGAACCACTCCTGTGTCCTGCACCGACGAGACGCGTCGCCAGGGCTGTCCAGAGACGGAACTGGGAGGATGTGTGCAGGCCCAGGAAGAGACTGACTGTAAGGAATTGGCTCACACAATTGTGGAGGCTTGGTGAGTCCAAGATCTGATGTCAGAAGCCGGCGGGCTGCTGACCCAGGAAAGAGTTGCAGTCCTAGTCCAAAACCACTCTGTTAGAGAATTCCTTCCTGCTCAGGACAGGGTTGGCCTTTTCAGCTATCCAGGCCATCAACGGATTGGATGAGGCCCACCAACATGACAGCAGGCACTCTTCCTTACGCAGGTTTCAATGTCAATCGCATCCAAAATGCTGCCTCAGAAACATCCAGGATAACGTTTGGTGGAATATCAGGGCACCGTGGTCCAGCTGAGTTGACTCATAAAATAAGCCATCGCATCGAGCCGCAAAGGGCTGTGTTCAGCAAGAACGGACTTTGCTCAAACCCTGACCTCGCTCCCACGCCTCGCTGCCCTGCATCCTGGTCCTGCTGTCTGCATTGCATCAACTCCTTCCTCCACCTTTCAGGTTCCTTCCTTCTCTGACCCTGTCCCAGTGAGCTCAGCCCTTTACACTTTAGGGTGAATTTTAATCATTCCCTTAGCTCTCCTCCCTATTTTCTCAGCGTAAAATGAAGGCATATTACAGAGGATTTCAGGGATCAATGAAGAACTGAGCGAGGTAATTTTTTTGAGGCAGGGAAAGAAGATGACTGTTTTCGCACCTTGTATGGTACTTAACAGAAGCCGGGAAGTGGGCGAATTACTGCAGTGGAAGCGTATTCAGCCCACGGCTCCAGAGGCTGGGAAGTCCAGGAGCCCGGGGCCAGCCTCTGGAGAGGCCTGCTTGTGCAGCGAGGGCCAGGGAGGGCATCCCATGGTGAGCGAGCGTAAGCACACAGCTCAGGGCCCTCTCCTGAAGCCATCAGCCCCAGCATGGGGGACCCTGTCTGGCCATCTCATCTCACCTAATTACCTCCAAGGGACCCACACCCCATACCATCCGCACAGGAATCCGAGGGCTGGGTTTCCATGCACGAGTTCGGGAGGACACAGCCGCATCACGGCAGTGGCTGACTTGCAGACACCATGACTAAGGGGGTCTGCCAGGCTTTGCAGAAGGCAGAAATCAGGTGGCCTTCGGCATCTAGCAAAGTGGCGGATGCTCTATGCCAGGCGTCACCACTGCAGTAAGCAAGCAAGCTCTGCTATTTCTGTCTCTCTTCTGAGCATAGTCAAGATCACAGCTGCTCGGGAGAGTGAGTGAGTGAGTGAGTGATGGATTGGACCTGGGTTCCCTGCTCACTCCTGGGCCGGGTGGGGGCAGGGTGCCTCGTCTGACAGTCCTTCCAAAGCTGCAGGGGTGGAGGGGACTGGTAACAAAGAGAGAGGGAACAGATTGGGGCAGCAAGACTTTTTGTTGCATACTGCCTGTCATTGAAAGGACGGCTCAGAAGGTGACGCAGAATCAGCTCCACTCTGTTTCAAGATGACCTTGAGCGCCGGAACAAGGCACAGATGGGCTGCAGAGACACAGGGCCCATCTGCAGCAAAGTCAGAATCCTTCCCTCCTGCTGGATGCTAAACACCCTAAGGACAAGGGCTATGTCGGCCTGCAATTTCCCTGGTACACCCTGCAGGGCTGTGCATATCATTTTTATTTAATTGGTATCACTGTGAGAGGATTTAAGGGTCTCTTACCATGGGTGGCTATGCATGATAGAAGGAATCTCTCCAGCATGCATATGATGATAAGCATTCCTGTATGTAGGAGACATTGAAGACGTTTCCATTTGCAATCTAGCTTACCTAGCAAAACAAGACAAACAAATCACTGGAATAAGCACCTCTCTATTATTCTCCAACCTTAAAAATAATGTCAGACCAGTGGACTGACAGCCAGTGTCACCTTCTGGTCACTGCACAAACTTGCTTTCATAGGTCCAAATTCAAAGTATCAAAAATCTAAGTTGGCCGGCACATTGGCTCACTAGGCTAATCCTCTGCCTTGTGGCGCTGGCACACCGGGTTCTAGTCCTGGTCGGGGTGCCAGATTCTGTCCCGGTTGCCCCTCTTCCAGGCCAGCTCTCTGCTGTGGCCAGGGAGTGCAGTGGAGGATGGCCCAAGTGCTTGGGCCCTGCACCCCATGGAAGAACAGGATAAGTACCTGGTTCCTGCCATCGGATCAGCGCGGTGCGCCGGCCGCCGCGCGCTGGCTGCGGCGGCCATTGGAGGGTGAACCAAGGGCAAAAGGAAGACCTTTCTCTCTCTCTCTCACTGTCCACTCTTCCTGTCAAAAAAAAAAAAAAAAAAAACACCTAAGTTGTAACCTGTAAGTGTATTTAACTATACCTCTCTCTTTTAAATCAGAAAACTGGGACTCAGAGGAGGGACACGGCAGGTGACAAGGACAGGACAGAACCTAGGCCTGCAGACTCCCCAGCCCATTCTAATGTGGTTTCTTTTGATTGCTGTTGCAAGTCAGTAAATCACTATTCAACTAACGAACTCCCCTTCCTTATACCCTTTCTGGTCCACCGCCTGGTTGGTCGCACCCTGGTTCTCCCAGGCGGAGGGAGAGTTTCTAACACTGGCAGGAATTCGTCTCTGCTGTCCCTCATTGTCAGGTCAGCATCTGATGTGACTTTCAGTTTTAAATCACTAAGCCTGCCCAGCTTGTCTAACTTCCCGCTCTTTCCTCATGTTGGAAAAAACAAACTGCTTTTTCTAGTTAAGCGTGATAGCTCTTACCAGTCTTATTGTCTTGTTCAAGCCGGCGCTGCGGCTCACTAGGTTAATCCTCTGCCTGCGGTGCCGGCACACCGGGTTCTAGTCCGGTCGGGGCGCCGGATTCTGTCCCGGTTGCTCCTCTTCCAGGCCAGCTCTCAGCTGTGGCCCGGGAGTGCAGTGGAGGATGGCCCAAGTGCTTGGGCCCTGCACCCCATGGGAGACCAGGAGAAAGCGCCTGGCTCCTGGCTTCGGATCAGCGCAGTGCACCGGCTGTAGTGGCCATTTGAGGGGTGAACCAACGGAAGGAAGACCTTTCTCTCTGTCTCTCTCTCTTACAGTCTACCTCTGCCTGTCAAAAATAAATAAATAAAATACATATTGTCTTGTTCAGATATTAAGAGAAACAAGAGAGCAAGGCCAATGCCAGCATCAGAGCACCCACTCCGCAGTCGCTCTCTTCTCGCCGGTGGCAGAAGTTAGCAAGTTTGACTTTCGAGTGAGGAAATGGTGGGAAGCAAAAAATATGGAGATTGAAAAAGCCAAATTGAGGGCATATTTTAGCCAAATTCTGCCGCAGAGTGTATAAAATGCAACAACATTGGAGAAATAAGCAAGGTTGTTAAAGATATATTGCCTTTATAAATAAAGGTACTTAATAATAAAATAAAAACAATTCACTTTCAAACTTGAAGAAAATATAAACTTTTCTAGGCTACATGAATAAGCTGAATTAAAACGCCACCGTGGACAATTTCCAGGAATGAGGCAAACAAGCACGCCTAGAAAGAAGGGCTGGGTTCCTGCAAGACTTGAATTCAGAACCCACGGTAACCACACTGAGGGGTGACCCGGCCATGATCACATTTAGGAGGGCCTGGAACACAAAGCTAAACGGCCATTAAACAGCAGGTGACAAGTGTCATGACAGTGCTCCCGGGACGAGGGGTCCGCCCCGTGAGACTCGCAACACACCAGCAACACAGCGCCAAATCCCAGCCGCCGGGCAACTTCCATTCAAAATGGCGCCGCCGCGCGCGCCCTGCAGAGCCGGGCCCCGGGGACGCGGGCGGGGGCGCGCGTGGCCTCACGGCAGCTGCGCGCCTGCGCGAGGGCGGGCGACGGGGGCGCGCGCGGCGGGGGCGGGCGCTGCTGAACGCAGAGCTGCAGCCGGCGAGCTGGACGTGTCGGCGAAGATGGCGGGCCGGGTGAGTGCCGGCCGGGAGCCTAGGCTCGAGGCGGGGGCGCCGGGCTCGCGGGCACTCTCAAGTCCAGCGGCCCCGGGGCCGGGGGAGTGAGTCCGAGCAGCGGGGAGCCGGCGGGTCGGGAGGCAAGGCCAGGGCTTGAGACGAGCAGGGGATTAGCCCTCCTCAGAAACTCCGTGTCCCCGAGGGCAGGCGCCCCCCGTTCCCCGCGTCTCCGGCGCCTGCCTCAGCCCTCCTTTCCCTTCCCTCCGGGCGTGAGTCTCTCGTCCTGCAGGCCGCCGCGGCGTCCTGGCTGTCCGAGCCCCCTGTGAGGAGCTCGGGGCGGGGGGTTCTCCGCACCCCTACGAGGGCGTCGCGCCCCGGGGGTCGCCGCCGCATGACTGCGGGGACTGGGTGCGCGAGAGATCCCGGGAGCCCGACGCTGGCCCCGCACACTCCCCGCGTGGAAGGAGGAGGGGGTGCCCGCGACTTCTTAGCGTCAGACCCCGGCCGTCCGGGGGACCTGTCAGCTGTCGGGTCCGGAAGGCACGGCTGTGGCTTGCAGTGGGGCTGGGGTCGGGGTGCCGCGTTTTGGTTCTGTGAGTGACAGTCGCTTCCAGTGCGGCAGGCTATGCTGTAGTTTCTGGGGTTTAAATCGACTTCCTCCTTTGGCTTGTGGGATGGCCATGTAGGCTGGGTCTGTCGAGGCGAGAGAGGGCTGGCGCGGCGCAGTACTGCGGTGAGCCCCAAGCGGAGGGCTCCCTGCGGGACGGACGGCGCGTGCCCCGGCCGAACCTGGGCACATCACTGCGTCACGTCACCAGGGGCTGAGGATGTGTTTGGCGGGTTCCTCTGCACTGGAACCCTGGAATGAGCTTACGTGGCTGGGTGCGTGCCTGTGATGTCCTGTGTGAAGGGAATGGTAGGTCACAGAGCCAGGGTGTAGGAGGAGACCCTAAAGGTGGTTTGGTCCGGCCTCGTTCCCTCCCTTTTCCCCATAGCCTCTCCTTTTATTTAAGGCTGGGGTTCTGTCCCCCCCCCCCCCCGCCCCGGAACGCACCGCTGCGTGTTCACCTGCTCCTTCGCATTCTCAGGTTTCTACTGTCTTAAAAGAAGCCCTCCCCCTCCCCGAAAGCTGTCACCTTCTCCCTCTTTACAGCCAAACGCTGAGAAAGTTGTCTTTATCTCCTGGCTGCTCACCACCTTCTCACCCCTCGCCCCACTGCTTGGCGGAGTTGTGTCTCCACATTTGATCGCCGGTTTCCAGTCCTCGTCTCAGCGTTCAACCTTGTGGACCGCACTCGTGCTGTGGCTCGGGGACGCCTGGCTCCTGCTGCAGCCCAGACCTCTCCGTGTGGCAGCCTCACTGCCCTCCACGCCCGTTCCCAGGGCTGGCGCTCCTCAGAGGCCCCCTTCTCACTGTGTTCTCCTCGGGTGCTCTGGTCTGAGCCATGACCACAGCTCCGTCTGTGCCAGTGAGGTCTCCAGGTCACACTTGTCCTTTAGTTTCCACATTAATAGGTCAAACAAGGCCCTTCAAACTCGGCTTGCTCAAAGGCAAACCCGCCGTACTAGCGCGCTTGCTCTTTGCTGTCTCACTGTCACCACCATGCGCCCAGTTGTGTAGACCGACACCTGGATGCGTGGGGGGTCACCCTTTATGTTCCTCCTCCGCAGCATCCTCTGCTCCCCCCCCCCATCAGATTCATAGCTGAGTTTTCACTCCACCACACCAGAACAAGGGGTTTAATTAGGAAAAAAGAATCAGGCTTGAGAAAATGTTACTGTAAATTATACCCGAGGTGCCCACCGTAGTGGTCACAAGGGTTTCGGGCTCCCAGCAGGGCGCCTTTCCACACCTTCAGTCCCACACCCGTTTGCGTCTCCCGTCCTTTCCGGTCTGGGCTGCTGCAGGGGCCCTAAGTAGACTACTTGTGGCAGCTCACCCGCTCCAGTCCATTCTCCACGCTGACGGCTCCCTCCCATGCCCACTGCTACTGAAACTTCTCAACAGCATCCTGTTACTTCTGGGAGGAGACCAAGCCCTTCAGGGCTCCTTGTGGTTCTCTCTCTGCCTTCCTCCACTCGCTGTCCTGCTGCCGGTGCTCAGGTTATGTAAGCTTTTCAGTTCCCTGAACCTGTAGTAGTTTCTCCTCCCGCAAGGTCTTTGCAGGTATGTGCGCCTGCACCACCATGCACCTGCTCCTCTGAGACCACTCCGCCACCCAGGAGAAGCCTCTTCTGCCTGGGCGCTGGCAGTCAAGGTCCTTGGTAAACTGCGCCATCATTTTCGTCATTTTGAATGTGTTGCCTGCACTGCTAGACTTCACTTTCCATAAAAGCAAAGACCATGTTAGTTATTTACTCACTGTTATCATCTGTGCTTTGTAGGCCTCCTGGGACCTGGGTGCGGAACACTTTTTGTTGAAAATGAATCTAATCTCTGTTTGAATCTCTGCTGATAGTGTTTCATCCTAAAGCTGGCCTATTTTAGTTTCATAAGAAAGGGTCTTTTTTATATGACCCTGACACATAGATATTATTTTTACTGTTAAAAGCTATATAGATTTAACTACAATTCCTTTTCTATGTGATAGCTTTTCAGATGTTTGAAGACAGGCTACGTATCCCTTCAGATTTTTTACTTTGCAAGTTAAACATCCTAATTACTTGCGTGTCCTATGTTTTAAACCCTTAATCATGTGGGTTACTTTCCTGTAGGAATGCTGTTTTCTCGGCCTTTCCAAATGTGCTCAGAATGGAACATGATCAGAGAAAAATGTCCTTGAACTATTATTCTCTTGAGCTGGATGCTACCACTGTTAATATAGCTAAAATTGAGTTAGCTTATTTTTTTCTGCAGTAAATCACACTCTTGGCTCATGCTGGGCTTGCAGTCAATTAAAAGTCTCACATTGTCTTAAAATCAGCTTCCCCACCCTGTTCTGGATATTGTGCAGTTGTTTTATTGAACCTAAGTGGGAGACTTTACCCCTTTACAATTCATTTTTTTTGTTTGTTTGTTTTTTTTTTTTTTTTTTTTTTTTGACAGGCAGAGTGGACAGTGAGAGAGAGAGAGACGGAGAGAAAGGTCTTCCTTTGCCGTTGGTTCACCCTCCAGTGGCCGCCGCGGCTGGCGCGCTGTGGCCGGCGCACCGCGCTGATCCAATGGCAGGAGCCAGGTGCTTCTCCTGGTCTCCCATGGGGTGCAGGGCCCAAGCACTTGGGCCATCCTCCACTGCACTTCCCTGGCCACAGCAGAGAGCTGGCCTGGAAGAGGGGCAACCGGGACAGAATCCGGCGCCCCGACCGGGACTAGAACCCAGTGTGCCGGCGCCGCTAGGTGGAGGATTAGCCTAGTGAGCCGCGGCGCAGGCTACAATTCATTTTTTAAGTCAGGGTATGTCATTTGTTGAATGTCTTTTTGATTCCTTCATGTTAGTAAACATAATAGCTCTGTCTTCCAGTTTTGTTTTAACTGTAGGTTTGATAATCATGACTTTAAAAAAAGAGATTGATTTATTGAAAGGCAGAAGAGTGATAGAGAGAGGAGAGAGAGAGACCTATGTTCCATCCATTGGTTGGCTCCCCAGATGACCCCAGTGGCCAGGCCTGAGCCAGGAACTCCATGCAGGTCTCCCACTTGGGCGCATGACAGCCAAACTGCAGCCAGTGCTCTGATACGGATGCTGGCGTTTGCAAGCAACAGCTTACCCCCAGCTTAACCTGCTGCACCACTGCACTGGCCCCTAATAACCCTGACTTCTGTGTCTACATTCATGCCATTGATAAAAGTAGAATAAGGGGGCAGTGTTGTGACATAGGGAATAAAGCCTCTGCCTGTGACACTGGCATCCCATACGGACACCGGTTCAAATCTCAGCTGCTTTACTTCTGATCCAGCTCCCTGGTAATGCGCCTAGGAAAGTAGCAGAAGATGGCCCAAGTGCTTGGGCCCCTGTACTCAGGTAGGAGTCCCGTAAGAAGCTCCAGATTTCTGGCTTTGGCCTGGCCTAGCCCTGGGTATTTTTTTTTTTTTTTTTTTGACAGGCAGAGTGGACAGTGAGAGAGAGAGACAGAGAGAAAGGTCTTCCTTTGCCGTTGGTTCACCCTCCAATGGCCACCGTGGCCAGCGCGCTGCGGCTGGCGCACCGCGCTGATCCGATGGCAGGAGCCAGGAGCCGGGTACTTACCCTGGTCTCCCATGGGGTGCAGGGCTCAAGGACTTGGGCCATCCTCCACTGCACTCCCTGGCCACAGTAGAGAGCTGGATTGGAAGAGGAGCAACTGGGACAGAATCCAGCGCCCCAACTGGGACTAGAACCCGGTGTGCCGGCACCGCAAGGCGGAGGATTAGCCTAGTGAGCCGCAACGCTGGCCTAGCCCTGGGTATTGCAGCCATTTGGGGAGTGAACCTATGGATGGAAGATCTCTCTCTCTCTCTCTCTCTCTCTCTCTCTGTCGCTACCTCTCCCTCTCTCTTTTTTTTTTTTTTTTAAAAAGATTTTATTTATTTACTTGAGAGGTAGAGAGAGACAGAGAAAGGTCTTCTGTCCGTTGGTTCATTCCCCAAATGGCCGCAACGGCTTGGTCTGTGCCGATCTGAAGCCAGGAGCCAGGTACCTCCTTCCCATCTCCCGTGTGGGTGCAGGGTGCCAAGCACTTGGACAATCCCATCTTCCGCTGCTTTCCCAGGCCATAGCAGAGAGCTGGATTGGAAGAGGAGCAGCCAGGACTAGAGCCGGCGCCGCAGGTGGAGGATTAACCTACTGTGCCATTGCGCAGGCCCCTCCCCCCATGCTGTCTTTCAAGTAAATAAAAAAATTTTAAAAAGTAGAATAAGACAAGGGTCGGAAGTAGCCCTTGGGGACAGGTAAGTGGTATATCCTGCTTCAGAGTACCTAGGTTTGAGTTCCAGCTCTGTTCTAGATTCCAGCTTCCTTCTAAACTTTTTATTTTTATTTTTTAAGGATTTATTTATTTATTTGAAAGGCAAAGTTAACAGAGAGGCAGAGGCAGAGACA